ATTAACTTGCAATTAAACGAATACTAAAGCTAAAGGGTTCTTTCTAATTAACGACCAAAGGAATAGGGATGGATTCCGGGGTAACCAGATTTCTGGCAGATCAGGTCTAATTACATGAAATTAATTTAATTGAGCCTAGCTAGTCATTACTAAGTTCTTACCGCTCTCGCGACGTAGAGTACAATAATTTAAGGGACCTGGCTGATCTCTCATGCGACAAGATCCTAAATTATTGCCAAGAAGAGCGAGCTTACGGCCCCTTAATCACTACTAATCTCTTAGCGAACGATTAAGTGTGTGTGAATGTGTCCCAGAACAAATTAGATCTCTCTTAACTTATTCTACAAGCAGTTGTAATTCTAGAGCGCGTTCTAGGTTACAAGAGATAGCAGTTAAATTATTCAAACACAAATTAAACGGCATTCATGCAATTAATCCATCAAAAATTTAGCCATACATCATGATTAACCCCTTCATCAATCCCAAATCCCTAATTAAATTACTCACAATTCATAATTGAAGAATCAACAGAATTAGGCAGAATAGAATTAATTGTCATTAATTAAAAAGATGAAACTTACAAAGAATCCCAAAAGATTGATGAACAAGGCTAAAAAGCTCTCTAAATTTCATGCTAGGCACTCTCTCTAAGCTCCCCCCTCAAAATAGGGTTAGGAAGGCCTTATTTATAGAAAAGGGAAGAAATTCGAGTTCTGGTCGAACTAGGACAAGGTTTTTCACCATTTCTCTAGTACTGTTTTTCACCGTTTCTCTAGTCCGAATTTGACAACACTTCCTTCATTCAAGTTGTAGATAATGAAGTCCTCTATCCACCACATTTTGCCGAGTTGGATTTGAATCATCCAATAAAGCGATATGAATAAAATGGTAGAAGGTCTTATTCTGAAATTGCAACAAGAATCATCTGACTTCATCCTCTGTTTTCACCTTCTTCCTCTCCTTTTCTCGCAATAATGTCTTCATATGATTTGTATCCCTTGAAGTTGGCTTTAATATGCGACTTGAATCGTGTTCTGTGGATGCTTCTACGAAGAGATATGCTTGAACGATTGACATAAGGTCATTCTGAACATCGTTTTCAAGCTCTATTTGTCTTCTTTTGATCCCGTAGCCAATCCTAGAGCTCTTTTGTCATCAAATCTTCATTGTGAACCTCTTGGTGACCTCTAAAGCTCTCAATTCAATCTCTAATGCTTCTCGAATCATCCCGATTGCTCCCCAAGCGCTGGTGCCGGACTCTAAATTCCTGATTTTGACTCCAAACAACACAAAACTGGAACCAACGCCTGATAACATAACTTGAGCTAAAATTGAGACTTGTAACACCTTAAAGCTAGGAAAACCATCACAAGTCGATCCCAACACGCATAAAATACGTGTTGTAATATGGGCATATCAGTGATCCGTCATCCGTGCCATATTCCGAGCTTATACCAAGCATTTTTTGGTAGTGAAAATTTAACAAAAAAGATACAAAATTTGTTTTTGACGATAAACACAATCGTTAACCTATGAGAACATGATATTAAACAATGAAATAAGCTTTATTAAATTGTTTTCTACAAGTTTTGATGATTTCAGTTACCAAATTTGAAGATAAGAAATGACTTCATATCATTTTATAATATTTTAGAATAATTCGTGCAAACATGTGGAAGCCTAATGAGCCATGTATTCTAATGCCATAATTATCATGTCACCAATCAGTATTGACTTTGCTGACGTGGTCCACACGTGGAAGTCTAGTCGGTCATTTATCGATGACGTGACACACACATGGACCGTCACGTGTGCGCCACGTCAGTGAGTGACCTGCTGACATGGCAAATAACCTGCTAATTGACTCAATTGAACGTTTTTCCAAAGTTTAGGGATTTGATTGATTTTTTAAAGTATGATGACCTAATTGACTTTTTCGTGATAGTACGAGGACCAAATTGATTGTTCGGGGATTCTTATTCTCTCTATATATAAATATATAGCTGAATTTAAATATAACTTTTTTTATGTTTCAATATATTCAACCAATTCACTTGATTTCTTTAAAATCCAATTCACTTTTTGAGCTATAATCTCAACAATTCTATCTTTCTGCATTTGAATTTGATTTGCAAAAGCTGACTTGCATAAAAATAAAAAATATAATAAACTAAGTTTTACTTTACGTTTTTTCTCTTTCTTCCATAAAGTAGAAGCATTTAAGTAAATTTAAAACAGGGAAAATGAATATATTTGTCACTTTATTTATTTTTCAATATTTAAAATAGAAAGTGAAAAATCTTATGAGACAATCATGGCAAATCAAATTGGAATGGAAGGAGTAATTATAAAATGTGTTTGATATTCCCGCACCATAATCTCATATTGGCTTCTTATCCGTGGAAAGTTCCACAGGGCTTGAGACCGTCCCGTATTAATCATTTAATCCTCTTCCAAATTGGTCCTGAATGACTGGTCAATCTCAATTCCAGTCTAGTCCCTGTATTATTGTTTTTGTAGCTCTTTTATTATTAGAGATGGCAATTGTGACCGAACCGATGGATACCCGCACCGAACCGCCCCGGTCAAAATGGGGAAAATCGCATTGACCAGGTAACGGGTACGGGGCGGGGAATCCCCATTTTATTTTTACGGGTAATGGGACGGTTACGGTTTTATACATGCTCGCCCTGTACCTGCCCCGTTTATTTGTAGTTATATTTTTATTATAATTTTATCTATAATTTGTCTAACAACTATTAAAAGATGAGATTTTTTTCTTTCCATTGTGTATATATAGATAATAGATGTACTAACTATAATGTATGAACGAAAGTTCATAATAGATTTTAATAGTCTTGTTTGATTATTACCATATATTTGTTAGATCAAGTATTTTTAGGTTCAAATTATTATAAGTTGATTCCTTTCTCGTCTTGTAGATATATGAATCTTTAAATTGGCATCTGAAGTGTAGAGTCGTCTAGGCGATGTCATTCTTCGCCTTTTAAAATATTATTTTTATATCAAAATTTAATGACACAATTAATAAATCGGTTACCCGAAGTTTTACCCGTTACCCGTTGGGGCGGTTATGGTTTGGATAAAAATTACCCGTTGGGTAATGGGGCGGTTACGGGGCGGGGAAATTACCCAACAGAGCGGTTACGGTTTTATGTAAAACCGTCCACGATCCGCCCCGTTGCCATCCCTATTTATTATAAGTGAACTAGTCATTGAGATCGAAATGAAGGGTACCGGTCCCAAATTCTCAAACACATGACCGGGTACCATAGCCTGCTCATATCTATCCTGATCTTGACTTGAGACTGAAAATCAATCCCATACTCGATCCAAAGACCGATTTCCATCGAGCCGGTCCCGATCCACCCCTACCCAAGAGACTAGCCAAGCCTCTAACGTCCTAGTGGAACCCCAATCCTTAAGATTGATAAGATTGGAGTAGGATCTCATTCATACACATATGGCATACATTAATAATTGATTTTTTAATTGGATTGAAATTTTCTAGTCTAGTTAGATCTAGGCTATGTTTGGCACAACGAGCTGAGTCTAAAGGCTAATGTCTGAATTAAGGACTATTGTCTAAATCAGAGACTATTGCCTTAAGCTGAACTTTGAGGTGCTAGATCTGAATTGCTAGCTGAATGTAGTAAACCCGTTTAGCAAAAAGAGCTAAAAAAGTATCCGAATAATATGAAATTACATTAAAGGGCATATGATTTATTAATAGAACAAAATATTTATTATAATTATTTTTTTAGACTGAATTTTGAATTGCTAAAACTGAAATGTTGCAATGTTGCATATATAAGGTACATACTCCGTACTTTTATTGAAGAAAATGCTATTTTAAGATAAAACGCATTTTCCAGGCACTAATGCACTAAGATTATTCTATAAAATATGACTACACCACTGGACCATGCGTGTAATTGGTGTAATTTGTAGGAGGAATTTGAAATAAATTGATTGTGGGTAATTATTATCTTCACCGGCCAATAACACATTACACATGTTATTAGAGATGCACATGCACATGAGTTCCAACGTGGGTGTCCTGATTCCTGAGAGGTCGTGGTGCAGCAAGTTAATTAACGTAGGAGTGCGGCAAGGCTGTTACGAGAATTAAACAATCGGCTGAATTGAAACGTTTCCTAGTTGAACGTTCTAATTCAGTTGATCATTTCCAGCTCAAGCTCACTTAAGACTTTAATCCAAACAGTGTCATCTATAAAATAATTGAATGAAATTAACAGATTTCAGCTCATTATTAGCTTAAATGGCTTAACGCACACAACCCTAATTTGTTTAAATCTAGTCTGGTCTGAACTAGTCTAATCTGATAAATGTCTGATCTCTGTGTATTTTATAGTTATAGAAATCTAATTTGGTTTGTTTAAATTTTGTTTGGGGCTGAAACAAGTCTACGTAAACATATCCTAAGATACCTCATGTCAAAGGGTTTGCTCACTTGGTGGAAAGAGTGTGCCACAAGAGAAACGTTCGGGACTCAATTTCCAATGACCCATTTTGAGTGTCCCGGATGAGTGTCATCCCTTTTTGAGACCCCAAATAACATGGACACCTCTCTATGTAATACTGTATATACTGGCCCTTAACCAAAAGGTCTAAAACCATAAGACCAGTGGTACTTTCCGCTCTGATTAAACCTCCTAAATCCGAACCCAACTGGTTTTTAAAGCTATTTTAGATGTTGAGAACTGAAAGACTGTTCAAGTCTCATATCTGAAGGCAACCAAACGTCCAAACCCGACCACTACACAGCTATGCATTGGATGATTGGACCCTGTCCCGTTGGCCAAGAATCAGTTGCATTTTGGAGACCCAAGTGACCAAGACAGTAGTAGTGAGTGCACCCACAGTACCGCAAAAGCACATAGATAATATGCACACAATACAAAATTAGGAATTCTCAACGAGAGTAGGTGAGAGCAGAGAGCATATAAACCGATAAACACATAGTATATCATCCATAACATATATGAAAAATATTCACAGAGGAAACAAATAAATGTAAATCATGGCAATACCATACGAACATATCTCTTACACAAGTCAACAACAACAAAACCATTAACCATTTTCTCAGTGCATAAAGCATATACATAGAATAAGCGTAAAGCATATGCTTATTATCCATTTTTATATGGTGCATAACAACACATATAGAATAGCCAGTATCAGGTTCCAGTAGGCATTTTATCACAGGAATGCAATTCACTTCTCTGTTACAATTCATCTGTGAAGGGGGCTCCATGAACTCTGCTACTGCCTCAAAACAAAAATTGTACTTTTCTTCATGCTTCAAAGAGGCTTCAGATCCACTTTCATTAAAAGCAGCAATCTTTCTGAAAGAACAGAAAATTTACATCAAGAACTCAAACTAGGCACGTGCCACTATTAATGGCTACAGCTGCGTATAGACCAAAATGCCAGATCAGACAGGGAAAATGGCATGGCTCATAAAGGAGGTAGCAAAACAATGCAATTTATGGTAACCCATGGCATGTGGCAGTGAAATATCTTTGGGTTTTCACCCAACAACTTTTCCAAATTTATTAATGAAAGAAATGTGGGTCATTAATGTCCATAAAATAGGATAGGCCAAGATGAAGGCAGGTATCACTTATCCTAGAAGGTTCTTGAAATATCTTGCTAGAATAGACCCTGAAATATCACAATCTTTTAAAATATATATTCTGTGCAACAACAATCAAGATATGTTATTTTATGTGCTCAGGGATGAGCATCTTTGAAAAAATTTAGCCACCAAAATATCACCCACAATCTCCAATTTCTACGAGTAAGAATAAATACAACCGGCAGTGTTAGTTTTTTTATAAACCAGTCGGGTAATCCATTGGGAAAATTCACAAAATTGGAATAAAAATAATTTACAGTTTTAAAATAGCAACTTATTTATGTTCCACGAAGTACCATATTTTAGCGAGTCCTGCTTCGTGTACACGCCGGGTTACACGCCGGTCAAATTGTCTATATACAGACAATTTGATCAGCTAGACAGACAATTTGATCGGCATTTTATGAAGAAAATCGATTTCCATAGACAAAATATAAAGAGTTGTCTGTATCACAGACATTTTAAACCTGAATTTTTCATAAAGTGTCTGTGATACAAACATTTTTTTATATTTATCTGTGTGAAAATCGGTTTTCTTCGTAAAACACCGCTCAATATGTCTTTGTAGTCGATCAAATTGTCTGTACACAGACAATTTGACAGACCTGTAAGCCGGCATGTAAAACTTGGCGTGTACAAAGGGAATTTTCCTATTTTAGCATTACCAGGCTTTAATATGACAGCTTTAATACTCCGTATAACAGTATTCTACCAGATTTGGCATTATTTTTCAAGTGTGAAAGTAGTTACTCCTATTTAGGGAATAAAATCATATAGATCATCTTTTTGATATGTACATTATTTTTACTCCTATTTAGGGCGAATTCTTTAATACATTTTCAGAACGGCAAAATGAATACACCAAAAATACTTTATTAGAAACACATATGAAACATCTCTAATCTTAAATGATCAAATCAGTAGTTGAAATTCAATAGAGACGAATATATGAATAGAAGAACAACATAAGAGCCTTTTAGGGGGTGTTTGAAATTGATTATGATTTCTTCTTTTATAAAGAAGAAATAGAATCAGAATTAAATTTCCATAAATTGGTCTCCCAGCTTCTAAAAAATGCTTCTAGTAGCATTTTGGAGCACCAAGAAGTACAAGTACTTATGCATTTTCACCCACACTCCAAACACTCCTATATATGCTTCCAATATATGCTTCTGCTCCTTGAAGGAACGGAAGGTGTTTTGACAAGTAGATCCAAACACCCCTTTAGTCTCGAAAGAGTTTGGGTTCAGCAAGCATGCACGAACTAACATATGAATAAAAGTAGTGGGAAAATTTAATTTTTAAAACTGCGTGGTATTTTGTCATGATTGTAGTCACCATGATGTTCCCGTAGAATATCAGCGATGGCAGTGATCAAGTAGTCATATTTCTAACGTAGTAATAAATTGAAACAATGCAATTCTTTACCCACCGAACTATCATCCACAATCTCCAATCTGCCTTTAGTGTACAAAATATTATGAGCAATCTTAAAAGTGAGAGCAAAAACCTGTTGTAGAGTTCATGATAACAGCTGCAAAATGACATTAAGAACAAAAACACTAATACACATTCATTTCATTGATAACATAAGACTGATAAGAGCACATGTAATTAAAACAAATTAACTTCGTGAACATTACAATCATTTGTATATATCAATTATTATACCTCAGAGATCCATGGAACAAGTTCTTGATTTGGTTAGAATATGAAATCAGAAGGAGTTCATTTCCAGACAGTAGGTTCTCCCCTTCACCAACATCCTAGCAGCCGTTCCATAAGGTTCATCAAAAGCAGAAGCTACCCAATTTCCATCTGAACTAACCACATCTTTCTTTTGTTGTTCACTTGGCCTAATAGCCACCAAGGTCGCACCTTTCAGAACAGTCCCATCAGGCAACACCAAAAGTGGGGCGAACCATAAACGCATATTCAGAGCAGGAACCATAGTCCTCTTTGATGCCGACGAAGCAGAAAGGGGTTTCACTCTTAGCTCCTCCAGTTGGTCCCTATTCATACACAGAACTCCCTGCCCATCCGTGTCAGTCAATGTCAAATTATCTAGGGTTACGTGTTCTGCAATTATCGGCTGCAGTAAATAATGTCTGGCAGAAGCGGCAATTAAAGAGCTTATCGTCCAAACCACTCGTAGTTTCAGACCTCCGCTGGTGTAAAATGACTCCGGTATGCTCCCGTTGTTATCGGTGTTTACTTCACTCTGCTCGTCGCGGGTAGCGATTTGATGACCCGTGGTGGTGCGGTGAGTCACCGATGAAGCACCAAGGATGACGCAATTATCGAGGGTGGACCCAAAATCGGCTCTCCATTTCAGTAAAACGCCGTCGTCGATTCCAAGTTCTCCGCTCGGCAATTCGATTCGTAGGTATTTGATTTCTTCAAAATTCTTCAAGACCTGTGCCGGTGAGTGGTGAGTGACGGAGTTTTGGTCGAATCTGCCGTCATCGAGTGCCGGAGAAGCCGTGACGCGCCGCGGGGGATTGGATGCGGAGATGAATTGGGTAAGAGACTGGAAAGGCTTGAGGAGACCCGTAACTAGAAGACGAATTACAGAAGAGATCGGATGGCGAGACTTGTCGGTCGCGGCGGAAGTAGAAGAAGGCGAAGAGCCGTCGTCGTCTGAGATGACGCAGTCGACTCGAACGACGACGTTGTCAACCTGTGGTACTAATGAATGGAAACGCCTCGAAACAACGCAGCATCGGCCGAGAGCTTTGACATCGCCGATCATGTTGAATACGAAGAGGACTAGAGAGTCCGGGAGGCGGTCGAATTGGTCCACCGGCTCTGAGTAGACTGTGGATTTCAGATCTAGCCCGGCAGAACCCATCTTCCTGCAATTTCAAGGTATGTAACTACCGGTATATTTACAGCGATGTATAAGCGCAAGAACAGAAAATTGAGAGGATCGGGGAGTGGGGTTTATGGATCTAACAGAGAAGACATGGCAGAATGCAGAAGGGTGTGGAGAGAGAGAGAGAGGATGAGAACCGAATTGAGGGATGAATGTGGGTATGAGAGGACGGGTGCGTTTGGTGCATTTTCATTGTCTGGTCATGTATTTTCTTTATATCTTTAAAAATAAAATATTTCATTTTTAGAGTTACTTGCTTTGCACCCAATATACAAGTATTAGATACTCCCTCTTTGGCCTCTTGGGGATGAGTATCCCCACACAAAAAGAGGTTCCGATCGGGCTTTTTATAAATTTTTCGCCCATCATGTGTCAGCAGGTTCGGCCTGGCCCGCTAAAAATGGGTCTAACCCTATGTCCATACCCGCCCTAAGAGCGGGCCGGGTAGTCCATCGGGCCGCCTAGCTCAGGAAAACTTTTATTTTTTTCAAAATTATATTACCTCCGTCCTAATGGACTTTTCACTCCTTAAGTTAGGTGAGAAATAAGATTAGTAAAAATTGTGTGGTTCAAATTTGTGCAGAGGAGAGAGAAATGAGTAGAACAATAAAATAGTTACTTTAATGGGAAAGTGGCAAAGTTTTTTGGGATAACCAAAAAAGGAAAGGTGACAAAGTCCAGTGGGATAGAGGTAGTATGATTTTTTTTAATACTTTTTAAAAATAATATTACAACATTTAACAAATTGTTAATACGTTTATAATGTTTATAGGTCTTTCACCACATACAAAAAATTACTTACACAAAATATATGTATAAAATATTACACAAAATATTATCTTCTAGGTAGACGTTTGACCGTAAATTACACACCCCTTATCTTATTTACTTTTCCATCATCTCTGTCACACACCCCTTATCTTATTTACATTTGAATAATACATACTATGGAGGGAGTATATGACAGAGATGATGGAAAAGTAAATAAGATAAGGGGTGTGTAATTTATATTTTAAACCAAAACTTATCAAAAGGGAGATGTAATTATGCTTAAAATACATCTCAAAAAGTCAAGTGTAGCAAAAAATAATATGAGGGACTATATGAAAAAAATGTTGAAATTGTTTTTAAGTATAAGTGAATATGCTAAACTACGTATTACGGATGATTCTACATGGATTGATTTCAATTCTAGACTAAAGAAGATTTAAATAGATCAGACCGAACTTCAATTAAAAACAACCCAAGAACATCTGTCATGCTCATCATGCATTGTTGCTAATGTGGTAATGAAATGGAGAAGGTCTAGACCAAATGTCATCAAAAGGATGTGATCTATTTGGCACTCCAATTCACAAGGGGGACATAAAAATAATAAAAATTAATCATCATTACCCCAATGCCGCAAAGGCTCTCACCTTCTGTGGGGTAAGGGGATCGGATGCACGCAGTCTTACCCATGTACTAAATCACAGAGAGATTGTTTCCGGATGACCCATAGTGAAAATCGTGTCGAAAGTTCCATAGACTAACTACTGTTTCATAACAAAGAAGCAAGACAGTTTAATGAAAAAGAAAACAAACTTCATATAGTTAAAGGAAAATGGGTCTGAAAGTAGATCCCGTGTTGGACTATATATATTCTCACATCAAATTGTGGAAGCCCATTTAAATTAGCATTAGAGAGTATATTTGTAAAACAAAGTGCACTTGGTAAATTGGAACCCCAAATGACCCCTACATTGAAGATGTTGTAAGTAGCAAAAGAGACTCATGCTTAGAGCATCTTTAATGGAGATCTGAATTGCACTCCATTAAAATGGACACATCATCAATGTGCACAGTCCATAAAGCACACGTGGACAGACAACCAATTATAATAAAATTTGATCTCCAACAGAATCGTGGATCAGAACAGATCGCTACTGAAATTACAAATTTTTTTACTATTCCTACGCATTACGGATCTATATTTTTCCAACCATACAAGTATACTATTGATCTCCTCCTAAAATTAATTCTCGAAAGGCATACAATGACAATAGAAGCAATAGATCGATGCTGAAATTGTAGAAGGATTCCACAGGGAGTAGGAGGTCGGCAATTAGAAACAGCCCATAAACAACCTGCTCTGCTGTGATTGTTGTTATATAACCTAGTAAATTTTGATATCATGTATATGTAGTTTGTTGTAATTGATAATGGAATTAATTAGTAGGAGATTAAAAATTACTTTGATTTTTGCTGTGAGCCTGCGACCTTGAAGAAGATTTGGAGAGGGTCTTTGGCCTCCTAGGGTATGGTGATTCGGAAGATGCAAAAAAAATTGATGGAAAAAAAGTTTTGCTGAGTCATGCTGTCTAACTGACTTGCTGAAATGAGAAAGGGGAAGAGACGGTGTGGACAGATGTTAACTCCACCTCAGCTCCACAGAAAATAAAGACCACTCCGTTGGAGACTTTTTTTTACTTCTCTCAATTCCTAGTTACGTGGCTGTGCATTATTAAGAATCGAAAGGTCCATTAAAGATACTCTTAGCCCAACTACACGCCTATCCCAAGATATATATAGCCTTCCAAAAAAACTAAACAATCTCTAGTAAAAAAACAATCATATTTATGGGATACATTCTATAAAAAAACTTGGTAAACAAGTAATCTAATCTACATAACAACGCTTTTTATAGTGACCGATTTCTTAGCGAAAATATATTCATTTCTAGCTTTACAAATGGAGTAAACTGAACAACCCAAAGCTAACATGACAACATGGGTAAACAACATTGCTCCTATGTACTTCTTTTGGACACATTTTTACAGTGCTCACCAAAGTGATTGCATCTCTTTTGAAGTTAACTCAATGTTTGAACTCCTTGCAAACACCTCCGGTAAACACACATTTTAAAAAAGATTATCAACAGAAGCAACATCATCCTCATTCAAACCTACGTCTTTCTCAGCTTGGTCATAATAGTTACCATTAGAGATGCCTTTCTCATATCTATCATTACTACCGGGGGGCAAAGCAGAAGACATTTTGACCAGAGTCGAGGCAAGACACGGAGCTAGAAGCAAGAAAGAAAAGGAATGAGAAAAAAGGAAGAAATAACTTCTGGAAATTTTCAAAATATTCTGAAAATTCAGCCTCCAAACACAAGATTTAAATACTAAATGTCAAAAGCTCAGTACTTCTCTTGTTCTTGATGAACACCATGATGAACATGATGAACATCAAGAGCATTTTTTGAGCCAATTCGAGCCAATCAAACTACTGATCCGATTCAAGCGAATCAACGTGTCAAGATTAAAGCATCACTATTCAAAATTGGAGCCATTCCTAACAGTTTAGCCACGTGGATAAGAGGAAGAGCGAAGAATAACAAGTGATTAGTTGTAGTAGTTGGGAGAATAACTGATCAGTTATTACTGTTGTGTAGTTGATAGAGCTATAATAGGCCAGCCATGTACTATTTTTACGATCATGAAGTGAATAATACATCCTCTTCCTCTCTACTTTCTCTTACAACTTCTGGTTATTCATTTCTCTGTGTTGTGATTGAATGAATTACTTGTTCTATCATAACACAACGCCCTTCTGGGTTGTCAATGGCTAAACCTGAGGTGGAAAAGTTTCGTGATGTTCATTACGAGCCCAAAGGTACCTATATCTAAGGCCAATCCTAAGCTATTTCTTGGCGTAGGGTTCAGATCCATGGCCATATCTTCAAGTGAAATCCCAGATTTTATAGGAATCGTCGATAAAAAAGTGGGTGTGGAAGATATAAAGGGAAATCCAAGGACTAACTAGAATTAAGAGGTGAATGCGAGGAACACCAAAACACGAACGAGACTTCATCTGAACTTGGATAGCACTAGCAGAAACTGAAGTTAAGAAGCTTCGTAACGTATGAATGCAAGGAAATCATAAAAGGTTAAAAGGTTATGATGGGGTTATGGGACTAGGCCATAGTCTAATCGGCCCAGGAAGCCCAAGCCCGATGATCCAGAGCTTGAGTCGGCCCAACCATCAAGGAGCGGAAGCCCAAGACGTACGACCTGCCTTCTAGCCCGGCCAGCAGCCCACCTCCAGTCCAGCTGGGAGCCTGCCTTGCAGCCCGGCTAGCAGAGTGTCTACAGCCCAGGGGGAGCCTGCTTCCAGCCCGACGGGGAGCCTGCCTTCCGACTTGGCCAGGAGCCTACCTCCAGTCCAGCGGGGAGCCTACCGTCCAGTCCAGCAGAAGGGAGATCAAGCGTCCGGCTTGCCAGTCAGGCCAACCCGCCATCCAGGAAGAGTAACGGCCAATAGTTAATGCAATATTAATTATGTATTTAATTCTGTATTAATATTGTAATTAATTAGTCATTATTCTAGTTGGCAGTTACCATTTGTATACGCCTATAAAAGGCAATTCGAATTTCAAATGAAGATATGCTATTCTTGGCAACTAAACTTCCCTGAGCACTTTCCATTTTCATATTGTTTTCTTGATTTCCTGGTTGAGTGTCGTATGTAATTTTCCTAAAAGCCTACGAGCGTCCTATTTTGGACCAACAGGTTATACCCTTTGCCTTTATACCTTTATAGGTGGACACAAGCAGCCCCCAAATCCACACGTGGAGCTTCTGGGTTGGATTGCTTTCATTCCCTGTTCGAAATCAGATCGTAAAAAGAATTAGTTGTTTGAATATTTGGTTATTTATTTCATGTTTTCAAATTATGCCAAATTTATGGTAGTTTTTGATAATATTCCGAGACAAATCTGTGAAATATTTGACAGATTTGGAACCCTTGTTCAGGGCAGATGTGAATCTACTCTCCAACCGTAAATCTGCCAACTTAATGGCAGATTTATTCCGCCTGAGTTGTCATGGTGGTGCTCAGAGGATGGTGGCAGCGGTGGATGCTGACGCCGGTCAGATGGTGATGGATGGTGACATCAGTGTTGGAAGCGGTGGCGAGAGCGGCGTTAGATGGCGATTGTGACGGTGGCAGGCGTGGGTAGTGATGGCTGCGACAGGTGGCGTGGGTGGTTGAACTGTTACAGTTAAAATTTTAAGGTTTTATGATATTTCAATTTTTCATTTTCCTTATAAATTCAAATAAAATTGATTAGGGGCATTTGTGTACAAGCATGTGGTATTAAGTCCTATGAAACATGGATATGATTTTGTTGTTCTTATTTGTGCACATGC